TGAGAAGATGTTCCAGATTGACAGTGGGAGGAACGCGCCCCTGCACTCGCCGCCCTCAGAGCACTACACCATCATCTTCAACACCTTCGTCATGATGCAGCTCTTCAACGAGATCAACGCCCGCAAGATCCACGGCGAGCGCAATGTCTTTGATGGCATCTTCCGGAACCCCATCTTCTGCACCATCGTGCTGGGCACCTTTGCCATCCAGGTAGCCAGGCTGCTAACCTGGGTCGGGGTGGACAGTGGGCAGCTGGAGCCCCGCTGCGGTGCCTTTAGAGCCCAGGCCTCCGAGCTGGCCCCTGATGACCTGTCTCTCTGTCTGTGTCTGTCTCTGTCTCTGCTCCCTTTGACTTCCAGATAGTGATCGTGCAGTTTGGGGGGAAGCCGTTCAGCTGCTCTCCACTGCAGCTGGACCAGTGGATGTGGTGCATATTCATCGGGTTAGGAGAGCTTGTCTGGGGCCAGGTAAGTTCCAGGTGGGTTACAGGAGGTGCCTCGCATTGGGAGAAGGGAAAGAGTATTGGCCAGGAAATCCAGGAGCCCCAGGAATGGGTCCCAGTTCTGCCAGGGACTTGCTGTGTGGCCCGGGACAAGGCCCTCCCTGTCTCTGGGCATCTGAGCAATGGGATTTGGCCCAGGTCCCAAATACTTGTCACTTTTGGGTATCATTACTGTGATTTTTGCCATATATCTAGGTACCACTAGTCCTATTATTTACTTAATATTTTCTTTCAATCACAACAGTTTTTTTAACTGAAATTTATTTCAAAAGACAACTTTATATTACTAACATGAATGGAAAATCAATATCACTTGTCATAAATAGAAGCTAACAAAAAAAATAATGTAATGAGAGTAATGTTATTAAACCCTAACTAGATGCCATGGCCCCCCAAGGCTCAGAGCCTAAAGGTGACTAGTTGTTAAAAAGGGAGATTAGTGCTCTAGCAGGTTTTGCTCAGTGGTTAGAGCATCGGCCCATGCACCGAAGGGTCTCAGGTTCGATTCCGGTCAAGGGCTCAATCCCCAGCCCCGATCTGGGGCGCGTGTGGGAGGCAACTAATCAATGTGTCTCTCTCACATGGATATGGATATTTCTCTCTCTCTCTCTCCCCCTTCCACTCTCTCCGAAAAGCAATGGAAAAAATATCCTCTGGTGAGGGTTAAAAAATAGGGATTAGTTAAATGGTGTTTCTGATGGTGTTGTTGGGAGATTAGTAAATGGAGCGACACCAAGCAGAGGCTCCTTCAGAGGGGGCTCCTAGGGAACAAACTCTGCCAAGTGGCAGGCCTGATCCTCCTGGCTTTGGGGACCCTTGGGCTGGATGCTCTGTAGGGGACCTTCTATCTACGACCCCAGAACATTCTCCCACCAGTTCCCTTTCCTGCTGTTGCCCAAGTTCCCAGGACATACACATACCCATCACAGTGCGCACAATTTGCAGCTCAAAGGCTCCTGACCAGGATGTGGTCCTTGTGAGACACACCGGAGCCAGATCCTGGGCCAAAGGGGCTTTATCCCTAGGTGCTCTGTCATCCAGGCAGGGGGCACCAGTGGGCCTGAGACAATGTTCTTGCCTCCAGGCTGTCCCCATGCTTGAGTGGGACATTTCAGTGACAGAGATTAACTAGAAGATAAAGACGAAAAAGTTTAGTTTTATTCAAAAGAAACTTCTTTAAACTTCAGGGCTTCTTTGGAGAGTTGATAAACTAGATTTTACTCAGCAACCCCCTTCCCTGGGCACCCTCAGGGCCGGACCTTTTTTTTTTTTGGTTAATACTCACCCAAGGGTATTTTTTTCATTGCTTTTAGCGAAAGTGGAAGGTAGAGAGGGAGGGAGGACAAGAGAGAGACACATGGATTGGTTGCCCCCCAAACATACCCCACCCGGGGCTGGGATGAACCTGCAACCCAGGTATGTTCCCCGAACTAGGAATCGAACCTGTGACCCTTCCATTCACAGGCAATGCTCTAGCCACTGAGCAATACCAACCAGGGCAGGGCCAAGCCATCTTTATCCCACTGGGGCCCACACCCTTAGAGAGCTCCAGGTGTCTGGGTGAGCAGACTCCTAATGCCCAAGGACAATGCCAGCAGGCAATGTGCACCTTAAACTCCTAGGGAACCCCTGAGGCTGAGAGTCCAGGCCAGCGCCTGTCTGTCCCTACAGGAGACGCAAGGGGCCTCTGACCTCTGACACCTCAGCTTCCTCATAGCTTCCTCTCAAGCTTCAGCCCCAAGGACAAACCCTTGGGAGGAAGAGTAAGAATGAAGGTGCACCCTCTTCTCATGGCTTCCCCTTGTTAGGAAGACAACCATTCCGAGTCCCCAAATTGGCTCTCCCCAAGGCACCCAGGCCCTGAGCCCCTGTTGCTCATGTTGGGTACCCAGGACCCAGTGACCACAGGAAGAGTGAGCTCAGAAGCCTGAGGGCCAGCCAGGCTCATGCATGGCAACTTACACAAGCCATCTCACTTAATCCTCTAGCCCTGAGAATTGCCTTCAGCTTTACAGATGGGAAAACCAGAGCTCAAAGAGGTTAAATGACTTGCCCAATGACTTGTCACATGACCACTGAGGTCTGTATTCAAAGTCACATCTGCCCAATTCCTAAAAGTCAAGATTTTCCACTACGTCCCCCTGACTCTGGATGAGTGAATGAATTAAAAAGCAAATTAATAAGAGAATTAAAGATTGAATTGGGATGAGTTAAGGAGCGAATTGAACATGTAACTAGGTAATTGGGTCAGAGGAGGGGGAAGTTGGGAGCACAAGGAGGGGGTGGCAGGGAGGGAAGGAGGCTAACTGAGGGACAGCCCCCATTGCTGATGTGGCTGGGTCCCCTGCAGGTCATCGCCACCATCCCAACCAGCAGGCTCAAGTTCCTCAAGGAGGCGGGCAGGCTCACGCAGAAGGAGGAGATTCCCGAGGAGGAGCTCAACGAGGACGTGGAGGAGATAGACCACGCCGAGCGAGAGCTGCGGCGGGGCCAGATCCTATGGTTCCGAGGCCTGAATCGGATCCAGACCCAGGTACAGGAGGCTCCCAGGGCTGGGCCCACGCCTGGCCGGGCGGGCAGGTGATGGAGATGTACGTGCTCCATACCACCTCCCAGGGCCCCAGAGGTCAGGGTCCTGCTCTCACCACCTCACCCACTTTTTATACACCCACACTCCTCACACACACCCTTGAGTGGCCACTAAAGAAACAGCGGCTTCCCCAGGAATGTCCTGCATTACCTTCTCGGCCAGCAAGGGGTCAGACTGGGGTGGACAGGGGGTTGCCTCTGAGACTAGGGGAGGGGTTGACCCTGAGAGTGAGGTGAATGAGGGGCTGCTGGGGGGACTGGGATCAGAGCTTCAGGGCAACTTCAGGGCAGCCTTGTGCTGTCCCTCCTGGTAGCTGGAGACTGGTCTCCATGAGGCCAGGATAGCAACCTCAGGCCAGGGTTGGCCCCAGGTTCTCCCGGGTTCAGGGACCTGTGAGGTCCGGGGGCTTACACACATTCACGCACATCCTGTTCCTCCACAGTGGGCTTCCAGGTTTCCCCATGCTTCCCCAGGTTTCTTCCAGGAAGCTCCAAGGAGCAAAGCTTGGTTTTCCCCATGCACACACAGACACACATGCACCAAAGACACCTGCAGAGCACACGTGTAGGATGTCTATCCAGCCAGAGGCAGGCTTCTTCCCCAGCACAGAGACTGCGTGGCTGCCCCATGCCATGCAGCCCTCCCCCCACACACTGCAGGCTCTCACGGGAGCCAGCCCCTCTGCCTGGGTTGGGGTTATAGTTCACATCATACTTTCACAGCCCCATGAAATGAGGATCAGAGGAGCCTATGTAACTAAGAAAGGGTCAGTCTCTTACCCAGAACACCTGGGAGAGCTGCACCTGGCAAGTTCATGCCACAGTGCACTGTCCCAAACATCATTTCATTGGCCTCATAGCCCCCTGAGAGGTAGGTATGCCTCCTCCAGTTTTAGAGGTGACTGGGGTTCAGAAGACAGCCCTTTCCAAGAGCTGGGGTGGAGACAGAATCAGGTTTCAGACCCATTGCCACCTGATGCAGCCTGGGATCTCCTCCCTGGCAAGAACTTGGCACCCAGCCTGTTGGTGCACATGGCCCTGGTGCTGTCACCAACCTGGCCACAAAGCCTTTTGGAGGTCTGCAGATTGCAGAACACCGGGACTGTAGTTTCTTGAGTGGACACAAGTGCCTACCCAGCCTGGCTCTTAGGGAACACTAACGTGGGCCAGGTGCTTTCCACTCACAGAATACCCTGCCAGGTAGGTGCCTCTGCCTTGAAACTACACTCAAAGAGGTGACTTGCCCAAAGTCACCTAGCTCGTAAGTGGCACAGCCAAGATTTGGGCCAAGATCTGTCCACCCAGAGCCCCCACCATACCACTCAGGCTCCACGCCTGGCCCCAAGTGGGGCTAAGCTCCCCTCTTGCTTCCAAACACCATGTTTAACCGCCCCCAGCCCCCAGCCCCCAGCCCAGCCCACTGGCCCCTGAGCCACTAGAGCAGAACAAAGGCCAGGCCCTTGTGTCCTCCCTGGGACTCTAGGCCTGCAGATGGGCCAGAACTGAGCAGACATCTTTCAGAGCCTCGGAGTGTGTCTGATACTTTTTGTTTTGATTTCGGTGACGTTGTCATTGTTGCCGTGGCTGCGGCTGTTCTCGTGGCATTGCGCCTGTCAGTCGTGTAGCTGTTGTGTTCGTTCTTCTCGCAACTTGTCTCGTTCTCTCCTCCGTTGCAGATTGAAGTAGTCAATACTTTCAAGAGCGGGGCCTCCTTTCAGGGGGCCCTGCGGAGACAGTCCTCCGTCACCAGCCAGAGCCAGGACGTAGCCAATCTCTCTAGCCCTAGTCACGTGTCGTTGTCCAATGCTCTTTCCTCTCCGACCAGCCTTCCTCCTGCTGCAGCTGGGCGTGAGTGTGAATCCTTACCGCCTCGGGCACCACCGACGCTAGTGCCGGGCGGGCAGGCGGGCAGGGGCTGGGGCACCAAGGACATGGGGGGCAGCCAGTCATGGTTAGGCCCAGGGGACTGAGGGGCCACAGTTATTCAGAAGACCATAGCCAGCAATAGGGTGGCAGGGTCAGCTGGGGTCAGAGTTAGGGGTTACTACCAGTCAGAGGGTCGTGAGGGTCACAGGTGACCAAAAAGTCTGGGTCAGTCAAGGGATCATCATTTGTCAGGAAGATTTCAGTAATTAAATGTCCCACTGCACTACAAGGTCACAGCAGCCAAAGTGGAGCAGTCAGCCAGGGAGACACAAGGTGTCCCAGTCTAGGGTCATACTCAGTCACAGAAAGCCTCACTCACGAGGATAAGGGTCAGAGTTGGCCAGGAGGTTACAGTCTGCAGTCAAAGTCAGGCAAAGGTTACCATGGGTCAAGGCCCTCAGAGGTCACGGTCCATCAGAGTGCGGTCCAGCCAAGAAAGGTGTCACTGTGGGTCAGAGGTCACAGCCAATCTGGATCCCCAAGGAGATCACAATCTGGCCGCCCAGCCCCAGTGGTTCGGAACCCTCTGCCCTCTCTCCTTGCACACCTAACAGCATCAGCTGCCTCACATACAGTATTCCCTGCATGCTGAAGGTCTGACCCCGTCCTAGAAGAGACGAGGCCCCTAACTCATTCAGCCTACTTCAGGTAGAAAGCAGCGGGCCTTGGCTGGGTGCCAGAACTGAGGGATTGGGTCTAACCCTGAGCTTCCTGCCCTCCTTCCCTGAGAGACAGCCTGACCCCTCCATCATCTCCCTCCTGCCAAACTCATCTCCTCACGCCACCACTTTTGACCTGGGTCTCTCATCTCTGACCTTGTCTAGATCTTTCTGAATCCCTATGGCTTCAGGTCCTAGAGGGAACAAGAAGTCTCTATTTACCACCAGCCTTCCTTTCCTTGTTTCCAGTCAGCCTCTCCCAAACTGCAGGGGAGCCCTATCCTGATCTTCTCAGATCTCCACAGTGCGTTCGCTTAGCCAGCCCTTGGACTCCTTTGAGGAGGAATAGACTACAGACCTCATCTCTTGGTACTTTATAAGGTGCCTCTACCCCCATCCAAACACAGAACACCCATAACTGAGCAGGAGAGGACCTGTGTGCTAGGTGGGAACTATGCCATCTGAGTCCTCGGCAGGGGTTGCAAGCCACAGAGAGCCTGCTGATGACATATGCTCATGTCCCACGGCCTTTCAGTGGATGCAGTCCTGCCAGAAATGCATGATGGCAGGAAGGATGCAGAAAAGGTGGAAAAGTCCCTCCTCGTTCATCATTAGCACAAAACCACAGTAACGGGGAGGCCACACTAGCCAAGGTGAAGCGCAGATGTTTTGTTTTGTTTTAATCTTCACCCAAGCATATTTTTTCCATTGCTCTTCAGAGAGAATGGAAGGGAGAGAGAGAGAGAAAGAGAGAGAGGGAGAGAGAGAGAGAAACATCGATGTAAGAGAGGCACATCAATTGGTTCCCTCCTCCATGTACCCTGACCTGGGCCAGGGATAGAGCCTGCAACCGAGGTATGTGCCCTGGGCTGGAATCGAACCTGGAACCCTTCGGTCCGAGGGCCAGCACTCTAACCACTGAGCCAAACCAGCCATGGCGAAGTGCCGAAGTATTTGAGCAGACAGTGTCCAGAGTCACATTTCCATGAGGTATCCTGCCTCCCCTCCCCTTTGGTTCCTGCCACCCTTCCCGGTGACACCTGCACCCCTCTGCCTCGGTCTCACCGCCAGAAGTCTAGCTTCTGAGTGCACACTCGGTTCTTTGTCCCATCTTGGCTCAGTCTCCTTCTCAAAGCGTGTGCTTTGCACCGGCCACAAAAGAGCCTCCCTGGCATTCCTGCCCGCAGCCTTTGAACGCCTTCCCTTGGTTTATCACCCTCCTCTTGGCAGTCACAGTCCAGAAGAAAGAGCTCAGTCATCTCAGACCTTGGCGAGTGAATTCTCATCTTTTCTCCTGTCATTTATAAAACCATTCAATAAGGCTGGTCCTGGGACAGGCAGTCCTTAGCACTTCTCCTTCAGAGAAATGCCCATTTCTGCCTACTCTTCACTTCCCATCTCTAAGCCAATCTCCTTCCAGGCCAGATTGATTCCCCTTTATCCCACAGAGACCCCAACTTTGGAACAGCCTTTGAAAAGAAGCCTGTAGGCCTTAACCCTTCATTCTTTCAGTGACCCAAAGGGGCTGGTCAGGCACAACTCCCTGCCCCAGCCACCACCTTGCCTCTCCCCTAGAATCATGCCTCCTTAAGAATCTTGCATTCCTACCCTCTATTGTAGAATCCAGCCTGGGTCCCTTATTGGATCCTTTCTTGGGCATATGGTCTCAAAAAGAGCCTGACTGTCCCCCAGAGTACTGGTTCCAAAGGGATCACAACCTCTGTGGTTTCAACACAGTCACAATGCAAACTCTAAATAAATATCCCCTAGTTCCTCTTTTGCTGAAATCATTTCTTTAGCAATGTCACATGCTCTGGTCTCCCAGGACTCTGAGGGCCCTCTAGTCACCAGGCAGGGTCCCCCTCAGAAGCCAAAGGCTTTCTTCCCATGGGAAGTGTGGAGCAGGTAGCTGGGAAGTAAGATGGGGCGAGGTGAATCCGTGAGCTGCCACCTGCCCCTCTGAACAGGGTCCTCTTCCTGGGGGCTCTCCAGCAGAGAAGGGTGGCCGTGTGCAGGCTGAGTCAAAAACACCTAGGGTCTGCATGCTCTGACAGGAGTCACCCACTGTCCCCTGGGCTATCAAGAGTTGGCTACAAAGGCCAGGGGCAGGGCAGTGTATGCTTGGGCTGAGTTCTGACTCATGACATTGGGGTGAGGAGTCCCCTACCACATCACACATCTGTCTCCCAGCACCTCTGTGAGATGGAGGGCCCCAGGTAAACAAATGTATGCAGTGTCAGGACAGTCCCATCAGACTGGCATCTGGAATGTTCAGGAGGGAACTCTGGTCTACTCTCTTGCTTTCCTCTCCTGACTTACTCAAAAATGAGTTTGTTTCCCCCCACCCCCCCAGAAACTTAATAACACACCCCTAATGCCTTATACTTGAGCCCCACTCACATCTTCCCAAGCAGTTGCCTACATCCAGTTCACAAATGCCTCAACTGAAATAGGAGGAGGGAGGATCTGCCAATACATCCATTTAATTAAGAAATACACAGGCTCAGAGAAGTGGACTGACTTGCTCAAAATTACACAGCAAGCGAGTGGCAAGAGATCTGACTGCAGAGTCCCTCATTTTTCCTACCACCCCCAGACAAGCCCACAGACCTGGAGCCCACAGAGGTTGAATTTCCTTTCTGGAACCAGTACCCACACCCACAGCCTCATCCAGCAAAAAAGAGCCAATCCTCTGAGGTCCAGAGCCCAGGGAAGTTGTTTTCTGCTTGAATCTCACCAGGCTGGCAGGGGCAGGGAGAAGGGCCCCTTCCCACTGGTGATCAAGGACAGATCAGCATTCAGCTCTCTGATCTAAGGCCAAGCTGCACAGCCCCTCTGCCTATTCCCCTCAATTCCTAACCCATCTCAAGCCCGCTTTGTACTTAGCAAGTTTGTAGCAGGCTCTGTGTTCATCAGTGAAAGTCCTGCTCCTTCAAACCAACCAAGCCACGAGCATCAGACGTCTACCCCCAGGACCAGCCACTGTCTGGACACTGCCCCTGCTAGAGAGGCCTGTCCTACTCCCACTTCCCCTTCAGACTCTGGGTTCCGAGGACGGCTAGGGCAAGGAGTGTGCATCTCTTGGGGGTGGGGGGTGTAGGGAAGGAAAGAGAGCTGGACCTCTCGTTAGCATGTTGGTAACTAGTTTAGTGCAGCCTTGGGTTGTCGAGAAAAATGGCTTGCTTCTGGGGAGGGGGGACCCTAGACCTCTCTGCTTTCTGAATATTCCATGTGTTTGTTTCCCTAGAGGGCTAGAGAACCCTGGACACAGAGTTCAGCAAGAGAGAGTGAAATTAAAAGAGGTTGTGAGTCTTTAACCTTGAGCCTGAAATGAATGTGAATCAATCCCAGACTCTTGGCTTCCTTGAAGCCGGGTAAACATTCGAGTATGTGGAACCGTCCCAGACCAGGGCCTCTGCATTTCCTCAGAGCCCTCCCGCTCCCTTTGTGCTGATGAAACCAAAACGCCTAAAACCTCTCTTTCCCTCGACCGCACACTCAGTGCGGCTCGTACGACAAACCCCATCTTCAGGGTAGGCAGGAAGGGGAGATGGAAGAGCTTTTTTTCTTCCCATATTTTTTTCCATTTCAGCCGCGGAGAGAACCGAAGTGGAGACTTGAGATGGCCGTGGCGGGGTGTCCCGAAAAGTTTTGTCCCCACAGTCTTGTCCAGAGCAGTTCATTCTTTCTGTTGTCTCCATGCCAGGGGGAGGGTAAGGGGCCTGCATCTCATTGTGTGTCGTCCCCTCTGCGTTGTCAGTCACATGACAGGGTCCTGCCACCATCCCTCCTCCTCCACCAGGCGCTCCGGCTGGAATCTTATTACAGTTCTGCCTCAGAACATTCTGGGCACTAGACTGAGCAGCTACGATGATAATTAATATTCCCATTTTAAAGATAAGAAAACTGAGGCCTGCAACACCTTTTTTGTTATTTTCGCTTAATCGAGGGTGTAATGGCTTATCAGGAGACCAGAATATTTAATAACCTCTACAGAGCCACAAATACGAAAACTAGGGAGAAAGACATCTCAGGGCAGCCAAATGGCCATCGCGGAGCGCCAGCACTAATGCACAGAGTCTGGCTGGCCCTCACTCAGCACCTGAGGCCTCTTATTTAAAGCACGATTCCAATAGGCAAGGTTCCCTGGAGTCCCCAGCCCACAGCACATAGAAGGAGAGGGACAGAGATGCTTTTGAGAAGACAAGGGAAAGATATCAAAGGAGAGGAACTTTTTTTAAAAAATTATAAATATATTTTTATTGACTTTTGAGAGAGAGAGGAAGGGAGAGGGAGAGAGCAACATCGATGATGAGAGAAACATCCATCGATCGGCTGCCTCCTGCAGGCCCCATGGTGGGGATCGAGCCTGCAACCCTGGCGTGTGCCATGACTGGGATTGGAACCAGCCACCTCTTGGTGCATGGGACAACACTCAATCCATTGAGCCACACTGGCCGGGCCAAAGGAGAAGAACTTTTTTTAAAAAATCAAAACTGTGGGATCTTATACAAGACCAAAAAGATTCTTGACACCGTTCAATTCTTCCCTGTGTACTCTAAATTAAAAGGCAGAGGAGCATATGATGTGCTCTAGGAAGACTCCCCTCTGAAATAGTAAACCCTGAGCTATAACACTTAAAACTGTCAGCCATAGACTTCAAGAAAATTTATTTTCATGGACAGGCTTTCTCTACCTGTGCCCCACCAACGAGCTGCCCCTGGGTTTACTGAGAGCTCCACAAATCCTGGGCCTACGAGGGCCTTGTCCTGTCCTCTGCCCTTCACAGGCCTGTGGTGTGGGAGCAGCCACTGCTCTGCAGAGAAGGCCAAGTAGGGTCCCCTCAGGACCACAACCCCCTTGGCTGAGGCTCTGCTCCTTGGAGGCAATGCTGCCGCCTTGTCCCCACCCCCAATCCCCCGCCACTGGCTCCACTGTGAGGTGGGGCTGGGAAAAGAAAAGGAAGCACCTTTGTCCCGAGTCCCCTCAGCCCCTTGAGATAACAGTTATGGCTCCCGCTCCTGGGAGTCCAACAGAGGGACCCATCCCTTCAAAGTGAGGGTCCTGTTCCTCTGCACCCTCCAAGACAGGACAGAGGATGGCCAGTGAGGGCGTGTGGCTCACCCACTGTCACAGGACCAGAAGTGACAGAGCCAGGACTCAGACTCCAAGGCCAGTTCTCTTTCCACTAGCCCAGAGGATGCAATGCCCCACCTTCTTCATTCTTCAGAGAACCACAGCTTCCAGCTGAGACACAGAAAATGAAAGAACTTGCTAGATTGAGCTCAGTTCCACACCCCCTTAGGGTTCCACCCAGGGCTGGGTTTGACCATCTGATTCTGGCCTCATTTTTTGGTTTTGTATTTTCAAAGCACAAATAAATCAAATACCCCAGGAAATAAGGGACCCCAAAGCCAAGTCCAATGGCTGGCCAGGGCTTTGAGTCAATACTCGAGTGTTTACCTCCCAAATGCATGAAGGAAAGAAACGTTGGGTACAAACGACCTCCGTTCACATTGTCCAGGCTTCCAAGTGCAGCGTGTATCTGTCTGTGTGCTGTGTGGTTCCCGACCCCCACCGTGGCATGCTCCCGCTCCCGAATGTCGTCGGCCCGCCGGCTCCTTCGTGCTTTCTGGCTGCCTCTGCTCTGCACCCCAGAAAGCCCTGAGTTGGCTTCGGTTTGCTTTGCTGCCTCCGGTTTGATGTTCCTGTTCTCTGTTTGGCCCTCGTGTGTCTTCTCTCATCCCTGTTCATCCATCTGTCTCTCCTTTCTGTTCCTTTTCTGTTTGCGACATGTTATCTGTTCCATGTGGGATGGTTTCTTAACTGCGTGTGGTTTTTTTAAGATTAATTTTTTTAAAAAATAGCCTCTCCTCCTTCCTATTCCGTTCCCACCTGGCCCATTCCCCTTCCGCATGGTGGACCCTGCTTTAAAGTTCACAGGGCTCAGTCTCTCCCTGGGTCTGGGTGCCTGCGGAGTGGACTGTGCTTCCTCTGACCACTGTTCCCATCACCTCTGATGGGGCTTGACTCCTCCTGTCCTAATATCGTAGTTTCGACCAAAACCAAAGCAATGTTAAAAACCTCATGGACGCATATAACCTGAGCCCCTCTTCCAGCCTTCCCTCTCCTGTCCATGCTCATAACACCCAGAGACTGTGGATTCCGGCCACCTGCTGTGCCCTAACCCCTCTCCCACCTGACCCTCCTCCAAGCCCCCCAGAGCTTGGCCCACACATGCACACGCACGTGCACACGCACCAGGGCACCGCTTCTCACCCCTGTGCTTCCCTTGCAGATCCGCGTCGTGAAGGCGTTCCGTAGCTCTCTCTACGAAGGTCTAGAAAAGCCTGAGTCTCGAACCTCCATCCATAACTTCATGGCTCATCCTGAATTCCGGATCGAAGATTCACAGCCCCACATCCCCCTCATCGACGACACCGACCTGGAAGAAGATGCCGCGCTCAAGCAGAACTCGAGCCCGCCGTCATCGCTCAACAAAAACAACAGCGCCATCGACAGTGGGATCAACCTGACGACCGACACGAGCAAATCAGCTACCTCTTCAAGTCCAGGGAGCCCCATCCACAGCCTGGAGACGTCGCTTTAGCCGAGGACCCCACCGCCACCCACCTCCCGGGCACCCATCCATCCAGGCACCCAAGTCACTCAAGCAGCAACGAGCAACAGGAAACCAAATACTGGCGAGAAAACCGACATTTCCACCCAACAGACCCTTTTTCTGGCTGCGATGCTGTTTGAACTCTTTTCACTTTGAGGCAAGGGGCGGGGTCCCCTCGGGGCTTGCGGGAGTGAGCGCTTTTCCCAGAACAAGCCCCTGGGGCTCCCGCCCACACGTGGACCAGCCATGCACCCGCCCAGCCGCCATGTCCCTGCATGAATGTACTGTACACTTCCAGTCCTCCCCTTGTTTGGTTTTGGGGGTTGGGGGAGGGTTTTTTGGTTTTTTTTCTTAGGCGGGAACTGCAAACAGACTCTTTTCTGAGACTATTTATCCAATCCACTGGTCTGTGAGTTTTTGAAATGCTTGCAAAGCATGGTCTCAGTTGTATAGGTTAATTTAACAACTTTTTGAAGTTGCAGAGCTTAACTCGCCTAGTAGATTTGCACCAATGGAACCGAAGAACTTCATAGACACTCACAAGGTTATATCCATTTCTTTATATCTATATCAACGTATACTTATTCAAGGCTGTATACGTCCATATAGATAGGTAGATATATATATATATATATAAATATATATACATGGATATATAAAATTTCTTTGCCGGCATGTTGCCTTGTTTCCGCTTAAATTGCTCTATTTTAACTTATTTATGTCCTAAAAGAAGAATGTAATTTGTTTACAAACCTGTAGATAATGTCTTTGGCTATTTGTATGGTTTAAGAACACTGGTGGCTGAGATGCTGTAAAAACAGCTCAGCCCAACAGACACTTCCCTGGATTGCATCCTTGATGTTTTACGATAGCCATGCTCTGATTTTTGCCTGCTACTTCCGTTCAATAATGTCACTACCACAGGAGGCGCAGGCAGGAGCCAGATGTCACCAAGTATCCATCCTGAGGGCTTTAACACCGGCTCGCGCTCCGTAGACGAAGGGAGAGGAGAGAGAAGGCTTCCCGGCTCGCGGTGCCAGTGGCCGTCCCCCCCCCGAGGGTGACACATTCGCAAAGGACTTGTTGAAGACTTTTCTCTCAATGAAACTCGCTTGGGTTTACCAGGAGCATTTCAAAAAGAGGTTCTCTTTGGCACTGTCTGTATAGAGACCGAGGTAGTGTTGCAATATTATAAATGCTATTGTGTTGATTTTTTTTTTTTTTTTTAGTTAGTAATTTAGAGGTTTATTTCATTATTAATTGCAGCATACGAGCTGTTGGCGTATCAGATGAGGATCATTATGGCTTGCTGCTTTTATTTTTATTTTTGAAGAAGAATAGCCTTTTTCTCTGCACTATTTAGATCCGAACAAACCTTATGATGTGTATATTGAGATGTATTCAGTGTGATTTTTAAACCAAATTGTCTTCCTATAGTCGCAATATATATACTGTAGCCTTTTAACAGCAAGTCTTGCTTTCCCTACAGAAAGCCATTCTGAAACCCTACAGTATCACAGGTGAGAAAAGGAGGTTATTTTTCCCTCGAGACAATTACAGCACTAGTAATCCCACTTAATAAGAGCTTATTTAATCGTATGTCAGCCTCTTAACTGCTAAGCACTTTGTGGGTATCAGCTTTTTTCATAAAAGAACTTTTGTATTTAATACAAAGTTTGCTTTGAGACTTTTCAGCATACGATCTTTTTCCATAAACTTGTACAGTGCAAAAGACATTTTGAATACCATGATCGATGACGTCCCATGCTTCAAGGAAAACCAAACACCTTCCGCCTCGCTTGTGAAACTCAGTCCTCACCCTGACCCTTCCCACAGCTGCTCTGCATCAGCCCGGCCCCTTCCCTTCTCCAGGCCCAGAGAATTCTTCCACACACAAGATGAGAGCCACTCGGGAAAAGAGCCATAGTCAGCTGGGAGGGCCTACATCTGGATGGCTGTGGAGAAACCTGAGGGTTTGGGATCCCAAGTCAGCCCATCCCACCTGACAAAATCTTCCTGGAAGGAGGACCTTCTTTGCGCAAGAGCATCGCCTGAATGTCGTGAAGAAATATCTCTTGAATGTACTCAGCAGAGGAAACTGCATCCCCAAAGGGGTGACCAGCCCTCACATAGGCTTATTGGATTCCAATACACCACCACCAAAAGCCAGCCCACTGCTCTCCTGCCTGCCAAGAAAGGAAAGACCTGCACACTGAAAACATGGGGCAGCCTTGGAACATGGGGGTTTTGTAGTTTCCTTTCTCAAAGTTTTCCATCTCCCCACTTCTTTGTTCCAATCTTGTGTCCCTGACCTCATTCCGTGACACGGGGGAAGTTGCCCTAGCACACCATGCTCCCTGTTTATTTGGAACCAGGACGCAAGGGAAACAGGAGGGGTTTCTCCAAGTGGAACATAGCTTGGGGAACAGGGAGAGATGGAAGCTACCAAGAATGCCCTGCATTAGTGTTGGTCTTTTCTTGTCAGGAATGATGGATGCTCACACACACACACACACACGCACACACACGCACACACCCTCACTCTGACACTTGCACACACACCCACACACACAGGAAATGATTGGTTTGTCAAAACTCACTGTAGTACATAAAGCTTGCACTCTGTGTCCTATATCTAGCAGCATGGGGTACGTTTGGCAGTTCACCCCATTAGGGGGTAAATAATTTATGACCATTCATCTGTTTTTATGAATTTTTTTATCTAGACAATAATTGTAAATAAAGAACTCACCGTCTCTGTTCATTTAATACTATGCAATGCTTTCAATTGCTGACTCTTCTTACACCCACACTGTGGTTCTGAAATGTCTGTGGTTTTAAAAAAACAAAAGGCAAAAAACAACATCAAACAGAACATAGTAAATATATATTTCCACTTTGCTTCTTTTCTGTCCTCTGGACAAAGGCTCCAGGAGGATTCAGTTCTAAGGCCTAAGCTCACCAACTTCTTTCCCCCTACAAATGAGAGAGGAGCAGAGGGGTGGCCCATTCAATGACCCCTGGGGCTATAGAATCACCCACCTTTCGATGTGGGCAGGGAGGAAACCAAGGAGTTCCCTTGCAATTCAGGCAGCACTTTCCCTAACTCAGAAGCAGCCTTAATTGCTCCCACCAACCCCTCACCATGGCCCCTTGCCCCCTTGTCCCAAGTAGACATGGAGTTGGCAAGAGGGAGGCTGCCCTGCTTCTGAGACCAGACCCATGGCAGTGACTGCAATGGTACGAGGTCTCTGGACATGTCTTATCCTGGGTATCCCAGTTAGTGAGTAGCCACTCTTTTCCCCAACCATGTTGAATTGTCACCTTTACCACACACTGATAGCTGAGATAGACTTGGGTCTGTTTCTGGAATTTATCTTCTAGTCCCTTTCTGGGTGTCGTATCTGGCACCAGCCATACAATTTTAATTATTGTTGCTTTGTATAATGTTTTATTATGTGATAGGATAAGTACTCTTCAATCTTTTTTTAACAAAATTCCCTGGTTACTCTCTCATGTCTATTCTTCCCAGTAAACTTTAAAATCTTGCAAGTCCTCTACCCACCTCAAATACTGGGCCTTGTCATTCTGTGTGCAAACATCTTCCTACCATTGTAAGTGCTGTCCACTCAGGGTCACTAAATAGAGTATCCTGTAAGGAGAAACAAAAAGGACATCCTGAATCTTAAGGGAAGCCCAATATTCATTTCATACCCTCACTTGTTCCCTAAGCCAGGGTGTCCTTAGGAGAGGCCGCCAACCCCTCCCCGAATCTGAGTTTGGGGCCCAAAGTCACCCACCTTGGTTGTGCTATGGTGGACCTTTCATCTGCCTGGTCCAGACAAGAAAGAGGGGTCTCTCCCAGACCTGGGGCTACCTAAATTCATGGCCCAGTGGTATGTATTTCTAATTATCCCTCATGGAGAAATGTTTCTTTCTGCCTCCCTTTCCCAAGCTGCTTTTTTCGCTCTTTATTCGAAGTTTCCACCAGCTGTGTGATATGTCCTTTGGGATGCAGCAGTTTCTTGCCTGGACCTTCTCACCACCCTGACTACCCCTACTGTTCTTGCTCTACTTACAGGAGGCTGTCAGCTGGGCTCATTGTGACACACCTCCCATCCAAAACTCTCTCCATACTGTCCAAGACCCCACCATGGGAAGATCAGAGTGGAGAGGGTGCATTTCCTGAAGGCTTTTGCGTCTTCCAGAGCCAAGGCCTAAATCAGACAACAGCAGAAAATCCCCAGGTCCTTCCCAAGTTCCAAAGCAAGCTCTCCTGATCTGATGTAGAGATCCTATTTGCCCAGGTGTGGGGAGGGGGATCCTAGGCCCTGGGAATCAGCCATCACCCGCTGCACCAGAAACAAGGTCCTTGAGACTGCTTTGGGACTGCCCTTCTCAGCCCCCTAAGTCTGTTTTGTAATGCCTGTGGTGCTCTCCCTCCGAACCTTTCCTCTCGGGGGGTGGCCGCACTTTGCTAACTCTTGTGTGCACATATTTTATAACAGAGTAGCGAGGAAATGGTGCCGCCTCCAGCTTCCACAAGCTGCCCAGGCTCTGTGGGGGCTCTGGGACAATCGGGGCTGGGAAGTGACTGTGCTCTTATTGTACACTCTTTATTTCTCTGTATCTCTGGCTTGTGCTTTTTGTAATTAATGGGATTTGTCTGCCTTTTCAACACTATACTGAGCAATAACAATAAATGCACACGTGGAAACGCAGACACCGTACACATCACAAGGCCTTTTTCCGAAAGACAGCTGGGTCCCCGCCCTCGTGGATCGGAACTCAGGGGGAAACTGAGTCCCTGGGAGGGGAAGGCACTTTTCCTAAGGGCGCACAGCTCAGTGGGTGGTCTCTCTCCTTCCAGCAGGTCACACCTTTCAAACATCCACCATTTGAGGGAGACAAGTTTATCCTGCCATGAGTCATTAACCTTCCATGGGGAGCAGCTGACGGTCTCAGACAGCAAGACTTTGGGTAAAGAGGCTTAAGGAGGGAGGAGTAGGAAGAGAGAGATTCAGGGGGCAGAGGCTGTGGGAGGCAGGGGCACAAACTGGGGAAAGCTAAGAATGGCCTGATGTGGGGTCTGGTATAAACCAGCGTGAGGCGATGGAAGATATGGACAAAAGATGTAGTTGGCAGCCCCTTCCTGGGAGGGATACGGAGGGGAGCCTGGCACCCTAAATCCCAATGTTGGTCCAAAGGTTGAGGGTTGCACATACACACACCATACACATGCACTAAATCCGGGCTCTTCTCGGGGAGAACAGATCCCCAGATCAAGCACCATAGGCCCATTCAACTTCCAAACAGTTTCACACACAGGGTCCATTTAATCCCAACATCACCTTTCAGAGGAGGTATTATTGTAATACCCAGTTAACAGAAGAGGAGACAGCAGCTGGGAGAGAGAAACGGTGTGCTCACCAAGTAAGTAGGAGATACAGTCGCATTGACTGTCCTAAATCCCCAATCTCTCCAGCTTCAGCGACTACACCAGGGAATTCTTTTAATAACAACTATGCCCCATGCATTATATTTGTATTACATCTAATATGCTATTGTTCCCATTTTCCACTCAAGGAAATCAAGGTTCAGAGGGAAGGATATGACCTTATCACCCAGAGGATCAGTGGTGCAACAAGTACAGATCCAAGGCCAGGGCCTGTCCCTTGAAAAACAGGAAGCCCAAGAGCCCTGCCCCCTTTGTTCCCTTCTCCACCTTAAGCACTACCCCCTCACACCCCTGCAGTATTTCTCCATTAGAGGAAAATAAAGAGAAATGAGGACTCTTTTTTTTTTTTTTAACATAGCTTTATTGCTTTCAGAGCGAGGAAGGGCGAGAGAGAGAATTGAAACATCAATGATGAGAAAGTCATTGATCGGCTGCCTCCTGCACGTCCCCAACTGGGGATCGTGCCCGCAACCAGAGCATGTGCCCTGACTGGGAATCGAACCTCGATCCTAGGTCAATGCTCAACCGCTGAGCCATGCCCAGCCAAGCAGAAATGAGGAGTCTTGAAAGCTGGGGTGGGGGTGAGAGGGTGGGTTGCTGCCTAGAGGCCCAGCCCTGAATTCTTTAAAACCCGCTCCCCTGGGCCCTTTCCAAACTCCTTAATGGTCTGGGTCTTTCACACTTTCTTTCTTTCTTTAAAAAAATATGTTTTTATTGATTTCAGAGAGAGAAGAGGGAGAGAGAGAAACATCAATGATGAGTCATTGATCCATTGGCTTCTGGACGCCCCCTACTGGGGATGGAGCCCGCAACCCCACAACTGGGGCATGTGCCCTGACCTGAATAGAACCATGACCTCCTGGTTCATAAGTCAACTCTAAACCGCCGAGCCACATGAGCTGGGTTCTTTCACACTTTCTGAGACTTAACATCTCCCCTCCAGTAGTGACCATCTCCAGCTAGGGTTATAGGACAAGAAACTGAGTGTGACTTACCAAGGGGTGCCTAGGCTCCACCCTAAGTCACTAAACTCCTTGCCAAGAGGGGCCCTGCCTCTCTGCTGCTAGACCTGAGGGGAGCCCCAGGCTCTGTCCAGAGTGCAGCATTCTCAGTGTGCTTGTGGGAAACCAGGGACCTGAGGCTTGGGAACACTGAGGGTTGCATCCTGAGCTCTAGCTGCAGAAGCCTGCCTGAGATTCCTCTTTGCTGGGGGGATCTACCTGATGGGCCAGACTCACCGGATCCCAGAACTGTGGGGAAGGGGGAGTTTGGGTCCCATGGCTTGGAGAAGGCAGAGCGAGAGGGCTCAGCTTCTAGTAGGGGGCATTCCCCTAGCCTTGTCCCAGCCTTGGGTCCTGAGGTGGGACTAACAAGGAAGCACTAGGACCAGTCTATCCACTACCCCAAAAATTGATCATTCCGTCAGCGTTCATCATATGGCAGGTCGCACCCAGAACCTCAGGGTAACAAGTGAAGCTGTAGTTATGAATCCTTTCTTTCACGTAAGGATCTCAGAGGGGAAAAGGGTTGGTCAGGAGAGACGACAGGCTAGAGCTTCAGATACCAAAAGCCTGGAAAACCAGGGCGCCGCTGCGGGCCTCGGGCGCTCCTGCTGGAGAGGGGAGGGCCCTGCGGACGGTGCGGCGCCGCTGCTGCTGCTGAAAGTCACGGAACCTTTGTGCGAGCGGAGCACGTTGCTGCCCGGAGCTCCTGCACAACAGCCGGGCCGGCCAGCCCGGCGCCGGAAGTGAGCTGTCGGAGGCGCCACCGGGAGCTGCCACNGGGAGCCGCCGCCGCCGCCGCTGCAGCCATGGTGAGTGTTAGGGCCGGGGACGCCGAGCGGGGTTCCCGCCGTGGTCGCGGCCGTCCGGGGCCCCTCGACCGCTCTAGTTTCAAGCCCCGGGCTGGGGCCGTTCAGCTTTCCTGCACCGCCTCGAGGTTTGGGGAGCTCCGGCCCTGCCTCGCGGCACCTTTCGCCGGGGGAGGTCGAGGAACCTCCCGGAACTCTGCGGGCCGCGCCACCGCCGCGCCTTTCACTCCTTCCTTCCCGTACCTTCCCCCAACAGTTGAAAACAAAACCGGGAACGTTGTAGGAACCACTGTATCCTGAGCTCTTAGTAAATGTCAAGCGTTGTTCATAATCTCAGTCTCCTAACAGCCCTTACAGTAAAGTAGGTGCTGTTACCGACACTTTACAAATGAGGGAGCCTCTCGCACAGCTCGTAGGTGGCAGAGCTGAGATTCGAACGCTTTTAACCATTCCTGAGTGATGTGTGTGGAACAGTGGCTAGGGGTAGGGCCCCCAGGTTTCATGGACACTTCAGGAAACTAATGTAAGCATGAACTGAGTAAGTCTCTGAGGGCAGGGGCTCCGTTTTTTAAATCTGTGGAATCCACCGTGTACATTCACTCCACGCTTACTCATTGAGTGAATGACTGAATGGGAGCTAATGGATGAAAGCATCTAGCCTGAGCCTGGCACAGAGTGGGGGGTTCAGTGAACCAGTGCTCTCAGGAACATGTATGTGCCTGGAGTTCTGAGGAAACCTGGGTGAACCCAGGTGTAGGACACTGAGTTTAGTTCTTGCTCTGCATGAGGGCTAGGTTTTAAATTACTCATCTCTTGGCCTCTGATTCTTCAGCTGCTGAGAACTGGCGACTCCTGTGCCCTGACAGTCAGCTCTTTCTAATTGAATTTTTAACTCATTAACTGATTCTGAAAAGCTGATATGTTTTGAGGGCTGCCACTTTCTCCTTAACAAGGACCAAACTACCTTAGGTTCTCAGAAGAACTTGTTTTTAAAGGAGATTTTAAAAAAAAAAAAAAAAAAAAAAGCACTTGTTTGGAATAACTAGTGGTGAGAATGGTTCAAAATAAATACTGGTGACCTGGCTGGTGTCACTCAGTGGTTAGAGCATTGGCCAGGGCACCAAAGGGTCGCAGGTTAGATTCCCGGTCTAGGGCACGAGCCTGGGTTGCAGGTTCAATCCCAGGCCCCTGTTGGGGTTTGTGTGGGAGGCAGCCAGTCGATGTGTCTCTCTTGCATCCATGTCTCCCTCCTTCCCTTCCACTCTCTCTAAAAATCAATGGAAAAAATATCCTCAGGTGAGGATTAACCAAAATAAAAAATTTTTAAGTAAATAAATGCTAGTTATCTCTAAGGTCCTTTGGTGACCTGGTATGAAACGACCAGTAAACTTTCTTCCTGGCTTTACTTAGCCCTCAGCCATTGATTTAGGGAATTCAGTGTAACAACTACTTTATGTTCTAGATACACAGCCTAGTGGAGTGGGATGTTTTGTGGGCTGCGAGTTAGCAGGTGGAGCTCTTTTCCCAGCTCCACCTTTAACTAGCTCTGTAACTTTAGTACTTTCTCTTCTGGGTTTCTTTGGTTCCTTAGTCTGTCAGACAACTCTGATTAACTCCGCCTTTCGTCCTTCCCAGTACACATGTGAAAGCACTTGCTAACTTGGATAGCTTGGCCCACGTAAGAGACTCTTCTTTTTACCTTCCTTACTTGCCTTTGCAGACCTTGGGGCCCAGTTTTTTAGGGAATCTGGAATTGATAAAAGAGCCTATGCTTCCTTAATGTGTACCTTTTGCACTGCTTTACAGCCATCCCCTTCCAGTGTCCACCTTTCTGAAAAGTCAGGTCAGACTTTATACCTGCAGGGCTTGTGCTGGGCAAAGATGAAATGGGGGAAATGGTAAGAAATACTAGATCCAAACTGCACCCTTTTCAGTTCTTTTCTATCCCACGAGTTTTAAGAGAGTAGTGGTTGAGTCAAGTAAAACTGTTCATTTTATTCATAGTTATTCATTCAGCAAATAGTGATTGAGTTCCTTCTGGTTGCAGAGCACTGTGCTGGATGATTTGAGAGGATTCAAAATTGCAGACAACACAGACCCTAGCTCCAGGGAGCATGCCTTCTAGTTGAGAGAAGAAACAGCGTAAAGTGTTGTAGACATTTTAGTACTGAAGATATTCTTTTCTTCTCTTTTTTTTATATTTTTATTGATTTCAGAGAGAGGAAAGGAGAGGAAGAGAGAGAGAGAAACATCAATGATGAGAGAGTCATTGATTGGCTGCATCCTGCACACCCCCAACTGGGGATCGAGCCTGCAACCCAGGCATGTGCCCTGACTGGGAATTGAACCCCAATCGCCTGGATCCTAGGTCGATGCTCAACCTCTGAGCCACGCCCGGCCGGGCCTGAAGATATTCAGAGTAGTACAGCCAGTTGGGGGATCTGGGAATCTTCAAGATGGGGGCATAATTTGAGCTGGACCTCGAAGAATGGTTAGAAAGGTGATGTCCCTGGCAGCTGTGTTCCAGGCCTACAAGCTTCTCAGCCCTAGAAACCGATAGACAGTCTAGGATCTGTCACAGGCTGTGGACCAGGGAGCAGCCTCAAGGGAAACTTGAATAAATTCTCCATGTCTTGGGTATTAACCTAATTATGCAAAAAAATGCCTGAAACATTAGAGGCTCTGTCAGAAAGGAAGAGAGCACCAGTCATTACTCACTCGGCGTCTCTTCGCCCGAAAAGGTAGCCAGGACTGTTTGCCATCTCCCCTCTTTGCTCATGTTATATCTTCTGCTTGGACTGTACCTTCTTTCCCTGTACCACCTGGCAAATTCCTTATCTAAATCCCAAGTTTGTGTCCAACACCGCCAGCCCTTCAGGCTGCTATAGCACATGTAAACCACCATTAAAGTATTTGCCTTGCCATGTTAGGGTTACTTGTGTGCAGGCTTTTCAGAGGCAAGAAGTACCTGTTATTTGTATCTGTATCTCCAGCTCCTGGCACAGTGCTTCACAAAAGGAAGGTACTCGAGTGAATGTTTACTGAATGAATGAATGAATGAATGAATGAATGAATGAATGAATGAAGTCAAGAACTTTAAAAATCATCGGTGGGTCTAATAAGATGATTGCATTCTAACTGCCATCAGTTCATTTACCAATGTCATCTTTGATTCTAGGTGTCAGTAATTAATACTGTGGACACCTCACATGAGGACATGATTGTAAGTATTCTTTTAGCCCTCCCTCACAGGCTGAGAATATGGGCATTTCTGTGGGAGGGAAGCATTCATGAATCCAGTGTGGCCTTGCAGCCTTTGCCAGTCAGACTAGCCTTGGGGGTATAGTCAGTCTCCTAGCAATGCCTTCTGAGTTAGCAGGGCTGTGGCAGTCTGGTCATTCTTTGTGGGAGGAACCTGGGACTGGTGTGTAGCTCAAGGCCTTAAGTCTTTTGGCCAACAGTGTAACCTGGTTTGGGATGGAGGCTGAGTAGGTACAGAGGTTTGAAAACAGTCTCTCCACCTGTCTTCCTCCTACTGTCACTTCTTAGCCCCATTGAAAATGGGATTGAAAGAAGAGAGAGTAGGAAGATGACTCAGTATCAAGGCAGGGGGCAGGCTTGGCAAAAAGCCCAAGGCATATCTCAGTACAACCACCACAGACAGAGGTGCCAGACAAGGCCCTTTGGACCAGAAGTCATTAACTCAGGGTGTTTCCTAGAGGCAAACACAGGGCGCAGTGTAAGAAGACAGGGCTGTGGGAGAAGGTTCAGAGGTTAAAGTCTCCCACAGCAAAGATGCAAACTGCTTCATGCAGGGCCAAGCAGTCCAAGCAGCCTTTGAGCAAGGCCCAGGTCAGTCAGCTTATAGCATTTCCTCCCAGGGTTCCTGCCCACCAGTGGTTGCTTTAGGGCTTCTGAGAGGTTGTCTGGCCTCAGAGTTGTATGTGTTCCCTGGATGCAGCCACGTGTGGTCTAGCTGTAAGATCACACCTCTTTGGAGACAGTGTGGCACCATCAGTAAGAAGATCCAATCTAAGACTCCTTAGGGAACCTCTTGACTCTTCTCAGCCAGCCTTGATTTCCTCATAGTTAAAATGGGGAAAATAATGGATGTGCTACTTGCTTGTGTGGGTTTGATTTGAGGAACAGATAAGGCAAGGTAATAATAACTAATGTCTGGATGCTCACTAAGTGTCAGATCCCATGCTAAATACTTTTCATTCATTATCTCATGTAACCTTCATAACAACCCTTGAAGCAGATGCCATTCTTAGCCCCATTTAAAGATAAAGAAACTGAGGTTCAAGGAGACTAGGTAATTTTTTCAAGGTTGCACAGCAGATAAGCTGAGTAGACAGGATTTAAATCTGTTAGGTGCTGTGCCCTACTTCCTCCCAAAGTGTGTGATAGCACTCTATAGAAGTGCTTCCAAAATACATTTACAGAGAAGATCTGTACCAGTACTAGTCAAGAGGATTGACTTACAAAGAAAAATCAGGGTTTTTCCTCAGGGAGGTGAGGAAGGAATGTTGAAGCAAATGGAATGACTGCTTCCTTTGAAAGGGTATGATTGTTCCTGATGACCACAAGAGAGACAGCTAATAGTTCTTGAAACCCCCAAGGTGGGAAAGCTGAAGAACATGCCATCTGTTGATTTAGGAAGAGCCAGCAAACAGCAGGACAGCAGGCATAGCAACTCAGAGGAGCCATCGCCCTGGAGTGACAAGGAGCTGTAGGCAGAGGCCATCCCTGGGTCTGGATAGCCAGTCAGCATTGTGGAAATCGATTTATCAGTGGTGGGACCAGCAACACTTAAGGCATGCATGGACAGTCTGGGGTGCTAGGCACACTACTAGAGAAAAAGGTGAAGTGGAAACCCAGGAACCAAGGTCCACAAAGGATCCAGGGCCATGAGTGGAGGAAGGAGCCCAATGTCTGAATGGAACTCTGTGTCTAGGCCAGATGTGCATCATGGAGTACCTGATGGGTGCCTACAGGCAGTCAGAGGCCTGCTCCTTTGGCTCAGCATTAGCCCTTGGTTCTGGGCCGAGCTGAATCTCCAGGTGTCATCCCCAATAGCTTACAGAGCCTCAGAACACGGGCAGGGGGCGGGGTAAGGAGGGGCTATGGAAGAAGGGAGCTAAACCAGCTTTTCTTCTCCTATACCTACCTACAGAACAGGATGGGAAAGGACTTCCCCGTGTATATAAAGGGTCTAAAAGTAGCTGGATGTGGTTTGTCTTGTCCCTTTCAGAAAGATATTGCATGTCAGAGAAGTGAGAATGTTGATATGCTAGCTTCCTGCCTGATAGTGATGATTCTTTGAGGTTAGATTCATTTCAGGTAGATTCTGGTCCAAACTAGATTCTCTGTCCTGGTGACCACCCCCCACCCCCCAGCCTGCAGGCTTCCTGAGCTGTCCTCCCTTTGCAGCATGATGCCCAGATGGACTACTATGGCACCCGCCTGGCAACCTGCTCATCAGACAGGTCTGTCAAAATCTTCGATGTACGCAACGGAGGGCAGATCCTCATCGCAGACCTCAGGGGGTGAGTGCAGCCAACCCTGGGCAAGGTCTCAGAGAATGATTCGGCTTTTTAGGCATGTCAGGAAAGCCTGAGAGCCAGATCAGAGCAGCCCGCAGTGCAGTTAGCAGAGAGGACACCCGGTTCCCAGCCAGCCTGCTGCCCTCAGCAGACATTCTGGGCTGATGGATCCAGGAGTGAATCCAGCTCTACCACCCAAGTACCTACTAGATCTTGGGCAAGAGTCAGTTTATCTCTGGGAGCCTTCACTCGCTCTCCCTAAAAATGGGCTGATGGTGCCTGCAAGCCTTCAGTAGCTACTGCTACTTTTGAAAGTGGGAAACTTCCTCCCCCCTTCCCAAGTTTAACCAGCATGATCTAAGTGTCATTCAAGTGTGGTAATGTAAGAATAATGTAAGAATGTAATGGTGAGTGTATAAATCCCATAATTCTGCCTGTTTGCCCATGGCAGATATCAGTGAATGTTTACAGATGGTTCCCTTCCTCCCCACTGAGGTTCTTGAGATCCTGGCTGTCATTTTTATGGCCACATCTCTATTGCTTTTCCTCAGTTCACTGCCTTTCAAATAAGTGGGGGTTTTTAACCTGGATCCCATGGATCTCCAAGGGTTCCATGGATAGAATTCAGGGGTTGGTGAACTGGGGCAGCAGGAAATCATCTTTATTTTCAGTGTCTGATATTTAGCATATCCTTCCATTATGGATATAGTTTGGAAACCACAGTAGTATTCATAGTACCTATCAGTCTGTTACCAGGGGAAGTCAGATATTTTCATATCACATTGTAATAGTTGTAGCTATCTCAAAATAGCATTCATGCTCATTACCACTTTGAAATCAGAGTGATTGTTAGAAGCACACACGTCAGTGTATTATAAATTGTTCTTTAATGTTTTCATGACTATTTCAATATAATTGGGTTTCTTTTCTAATCCTAGCTCTATGTATTTGATCCACTGTTCTAAGAAGGGACCCACCTTCACCAGACTGTGCAAGAGAGTTTAAAAAACCCTGACAAGAAGGTGCTTAGTACATGCTTGTTAACTGAATTAAAGAAGACACAACTTAGTCAGTAGCCATTTGGGGAGATGTTCCCTTCCTCCTGAGTGTCCACAATTAGGAGAAGCCAAATGCCACTTTCCCTGTGCAGCAGCCACTGGCTGAGCAGAGAGCTACTGGGGTGAGGACTGGCTGCCAGCCTGGCAGAGGCGGTCACATCAGCTATCACTCAGTCCCTTCTGCTCTGTGTTTTTCTTATGCTCGAAAGGTGTGAAATATTGGAGGGATAAATTCACACCTCCTTTCTTTTTTGCCTTGGTTAAATCTTTGCTCTGTGTAGGACATTTGAGTCTACTGAGAGTTTCACTAGCACCTCCTTTGTAAGGACTGGGAATGTACTATTGTTCCCCCAGAGGGAGGAGGAGACTTTGAGTGCCTACAGCCTTGGGGTGAAGGAATATAAACAAGGACAGCAGTAATAGCTGATGGGCATTGAGCGTGTGTAAGCTCTTTACATGAGTTACCACAAATATTTACCCTCATGACCATCCTCTGAAAGAAGTCTTATTGATCTCTCCATTAAGGGACTAAGCCATAGAGAAGGTAGTCCTTACCTAAAGTAAAGCAGCTGGTGAATGGAGATTGGGTGTGAGAGAACCTGGCCCATCACCTGTGGCCGAGCTACTTCTTGTATGCTGGGTACCCACCCTTCCCTGGACCCAGAGATGGTCCCAGTACCAACCCTAGCACTGGGTACATGCTCAGACGATATTTAGCATGTGAACAAAGATCAGAAGATAAGAGAGTCGTGCCTTTTGAGCAAATTAAAAGAGTAGTAGAAAATATCAAAACAGATACTACCACCTCAAGAAGTTGCCTATTTGGAACGCTAATGATTGATTCTGTATATACTTACTGAGCACTCGTGGGTGTAAAACCCAGATTGATCAGTGACTCTGCTGATGACAGTAGGTGTCGGTGTTGCTGGCCTGCAATCTGAGGCAAGTGAGGATTCTGCTGGGTGGGCTGGAGAGGTTAACTTGGAGTCCTGACTCACTTTCAAAGCCTCTCTGACCTCTGGGCCTCAAGGGCCTCACTGCTCAAAGGTCCCTTTTGGCAGTGACATTCTTTGGCTCTCCCTTTTGAAAATCTTAGGCAGTTCTGTCCTGAGATACTGTCTCTGCTTACCAAGGAAGCCATTTAGTTCTGCCCAAAGAAGTGGCTGGCAGAGCACTGTTGGTTCCTCTGGCCCATCTGAGCAGCTTCTTACCCTCTCCCTTTATAGTCATGAGGGACCTGTGTGGCAAGTGGCTTGGGCCCACCCCATGTATGGCAATATCCTGGCATCCTGCTCCTATGACCGGAAAGTCATTATCTGGAAAGAGGAAAACGGCACCTGGGAAAAGACGCATGAACACACAGGACATGACTCCTCAGGTACACTGAGTGGCAGGAGGAGGTGGGGGGGGGGGGCTCTGTTCTGGCTAATGCTCTGGCTCTTTGCCCCTTGTGATGCTTCTTGTTTATCCCTTGGGTTTGGTTGGCTTTTTTTGCTGGTTCATCCACATGGGAGATAAGGCCCTAAGACCTAAAGTCAGTCCAAAGCAAAATGAGAAAAGCAAAGACAATACAGTTTTTTAAGGTTTATTCATTTTAAGTACTGGCCTTTATTAGATAATTGTCTAGCCTACTTTTTGTTAAGATAGACATTAGTTTAGGAGATGATGTTAGTAGGTGGTGGGTTTTTTAAATCTCTTCCATTGAAAAAGTTACAACTTCCCCCTGGTGATCTCTGCAATTTTTTTAGAAATTTAGTAAAATGGTAAATCTGGAAAATCAAAGTTTGCTTACTGTGCCTCTCTCCTTCCTGCAGTAAACTCTGTGTGCTGGGCCCCCCATGACTACGGCCTAATCCTGGCCTGTGGGAGCTCGGATGGGGCCATCTCCCTGCTGACCTACACGGGGGAGGGCCAATGGGACGTGAAGAAGATCAACAATGCTCACACTGTAAGTCCACACGCTGCCTGGGTGTAGAGGGTAGCTCTGCTGACTTGCCATGTGTCTCCTGTTTACCCCCCAGAGAGGGACAGGAGTAGTGTCACTGCTGTGCAATGGGCCGGGGACGGGCTGCTGATCAGACATGCTTGGTAGAGCAGCTTTGAGCTTCTTTGCTCCGAAGCCAGAAAGGCTGCATCCAGGGAAGCCAGGGGTTAGCACTGGTTCCTCCTCGCAAGCTCCTAAGTCAGAGAAGACCAGGGTACTGGCAATGTGGCAGCAGCAGCCTGCCTGCCACCTTTGCTATGGATGCCTCAAGTCCTTAAGTTGACATGCCTTCTGGTGGTCATTGGGACCCCCTGGAACTGAGTGGTATAATAGAAAGCATCATAGGAACTTAGTTTCCTGTACTTCTAGTCATTGGACATTAAGGTTGAAACAGTTAAGAAAGCACTGTGCACATTGGAGTTGGGGGAAGACTCACATTTTCTTGAGCTCCTACTGTGTGTCATATAATCCTCACAAATGTTTGTGAATGAAAGATGAAACTAACAAATGTACAGATTTGCAAGGTAAGCAGTCCTAGTCCCATTTTATGTTGAGGCAAGAAAAAGTAATGTTAGAACCTAGAATCCACCTGCCTGCCTTCTCTCTACGCAGCAGTTATGGCTTTGATGGCCCCAAACACTTCTGAAATCTACCCAGACGGTGAGGATTAACAAAAAAAAGAAAGATTAATTAAAACAAGTAAGACAATTCTTCTACAACCTGCTTATTCCAGTGCAGGGTCACAGGTGGCCAGACCTATCCTTGCAGCCCAGGGCACAATGCAGGAAACCACCCTGTACAGGACACTTTTCCATCCCAGGGCACACTGACATGCACACCTACACTTATACTGGGACATTTAGTCACACCAGTTAATTCACCATGCACATATTTGGGATGTGGGAGGAAACCCACACAGACATGGGGAGAACATGCAAGCTCCACTGTCAGTGGCCTTGGCTGGGAATTGATTTTTTTTATTAATGTAAGACAGCATTGAATGAAATGATGTTATTTGAGGACCTGCTGTATTCAAAGTTGTGCAGTTATCACCATTTATTTCCAGAACTTTATCATCCCAAAAGAAACCCATAAGCAGTCACTCTTCATCCCACCCTACCCCCAACCCTAAGCAAGCACTAATCTACCTTCCACCTCTGTGGATTTGCATATCCTGGACATTTTCTATAAATGGAATCATACAATATGTGGTCTTTTGTGACTGGCTTTTTTCATTTAGCATGTTCGTACGGCTCATCTATGTCATAGCATATATTACGGAGGGGGTAGTGGGGGGGGAGAGAGAAACAAACATCGATCTGTTGCCTCCCCTACGCGTCCCCACCAGGGATTGAACCCCCAACCTGGTGTGTGCCCTGACTGGGCATTGAACCTTCAACCCTTTGGTGCATGGGCACATGCTGTAACCACTGGGCAACACCGTGCAGGGCTTTTTTTGTGTGTCTTGAGGCAGGCATTTCTCACTATGAACTTCCTCTTCAAACTGCTTTTGCTGCATCTCATCAATTTTGGTATATTGTATTTCTTTTATATATATCTTTTTAATGATTTTTAGAGAGAGGGGAAGGAGGAGGGAGAGAAAGATAGAAGAGACTCGTCAGTCGGCTGCCTCCTGCACACCCCTCAGTGGGGATTGAGCCTAAAACCAGAACCACTTAGTTCCTGGGTTGCTGCGCAGCCACTGAGCCACACCCAGCTGGGCAGTATGTTGTGTTTATGTTTGCATTTGTCTCAAAGTATTTTCTTCTCCTTTGATTTCTTCATTGACCCGTTGGTTGTTCAGTAGCATGATGTTTAATCTCCACATATTTGTGAATTTTTCAGTATTCTTATAATTGATTTCTAGTTTAAACCATTGTGGTTAGAAAAGATGCTTGATAGGATTTCAGTCTTCTTAGATTTGACTGGTTTTGTGGCCTAACATATGGTCGATCCTGGAAAATTTTCCATGTGCACTTGAGAAGTATGTTTAATCTGCTGCTTTTGGATGGAATGTTCTGTATATATCTGTTAAGTCTTTCTGATCAAACATGTTGTTTAAGGTTGATATTTTCTTACTGATTTTCTCTGGGTGATCTATCCATTGATGTATGTGGGGTATTAAAGTCTCCTATTATATTGCTATCTATTTCTCCCTTTGGGTCTGTTAATATTTGTATATATATTTAGGTGTTTCTGTGTTGGGTGCAAAAATATTTATAAATATTATATCCTCTTGTTGGATTGACCCCTTTATAATTATGTAATGTTCTTCTTTGTCTCTTATTGCAGTCTTCATTTTAAAGTCTATTGTCTAACATAAGTATAGGTACCCCAGGTTTTTTTTGTTTTCCATTTGCTGGGAATATCTTTTTCCATCTCTTCACTTTCAGTCTGTGCGTGTCCTTGTATCTGAAGTTAGAGTCTTGTCAGCAGCACATAGGTGGCTCTTAGTGGTTTTTTATCCATTCAGCTACTCTGTCTATTGGAGGATTTAGTCTTTTTACATTTAAAGTACTTATTGATAGGTATGTGCTTATTGCCATTTTGTTAATTGTTTTGTGACTCTGTACTTCCTCTCTGTGCCTTTTCCTCGCTCTCTTCTTAGTTGTGGTTGGTGACTGTCTTCCACGGCATGCTTAGCTTCCTTTCTCATTACCTTTTGTGTATCTACTATAGATTTTTGCTTTGTGGTTTACATGAGGCTTACACGTAGCAACCTATATTTACAACAGTCTATTTTAAGTTGGTAACTTAAATTTTAACACATTCTAAAGCTCTACATTTTTACTCTCTCCCACCCACATTTTGTTTTTGATGTAACATTTTACATCTTTTTATCTTTTGTATCCCTGAATTATTGTAGTGATAGTCATTTTTACTATTTTTGTCTTTTAACCTTCATAGTACCTCTATAAGTGATTAATCCACTACCTTTACTATGTATTTATTTACCTTTACCTGTGAGATTTATACTTTTATATGTTTTCTTGTTACTAATTAGCACCCTTTAAAGCAGTTTAAAGACGTCCCTTTAATTTTTTGTAAGGCCGATTTAATCTTGATGAATTCCTTTAGCTTTGGCTTGTCTAGAAAAAAACTCTGTCCTTCAATTCTGAATAATAACTTTGCCAGGTGGAATATTCTTAGTTGTAAGTTTTTTTCTCTAAGCACTTTGAGATATGTTTGTTATCTTAATTGTAGTGATGGTTTTACAGGGTATATCTATGTCAAAGTTCATCAAATTGTATACTTTATGTGCAGTTAATGTCAGTTATACCTCAGAGCTCTTTTTAAATTTTCATTTTGGATAATAAGTTACTGATATGCAAGAACTCAAGAATATTGTTTTCATGAGCCCTTCTTGAGGTATCTACTAGAAAATACACTTCAGACAACAAAAATGACTAGAAAGACATTTATACAGGCACACCTTGTTTTATTGCACTTCTCTGATGTTGTGTTTTTTACAAATCAAAGACAAGACCCTCCACCAGCAAAAATATTACAGCTGGCTTTATTTTGATACTCATTGTATAGCAATAGTCTGAACCAAATCTGCAGCATCCCCAAGGCATGCCTGTGTAAATACACAGTGAATGGTAGAGAACTGAGACTAAAGGAGGGATAGAAGGGAGAATATGGGATGTATTGGCCATGCACTCTGCTAAGCTAGATAGAGCACAACTGTTAAAATGGTGGCACACAAGCAGCTGGAGATCCGTATTTATTCATGTTGGCACCATTCACACACAGACACCTCCCCCCCCAAAAAAGGTAAGAGCACTGCAAACACTTCATTAAAGATTTTAATAATCGTTGGCAATATTATTCTAAGAGTGTGTGAAATAAGATAGTTATGTGGCAGTGAGCATCCCTAGCACCAGATTATAGTCTTGAATACAGTTTCTCACGAAAGGAAACCAGAGCTCTTGAGGAAATGGCCAATTCCAGGTCTGAGGCAGGAAATGTACAAGATGAGCTTGTACATCTTGTCATACCAGATTGAAAAGAAATCAAGGTCATACTTTGACATAATAGGATTATGTCAAAGAAGCCAACTTGAACAGGTTCACAGTGCCAAAGATGGGCTGGCAGTGTGTCAAAAATGAGAATAATTGCAATGAACTGAAACCTTCAAATATGCTTAAATCTATGAGTTTATAACTTTTAAGAGAGAATCAGTCATCTTTGGAGAATGTTAGGGAGCCAGTTCAGAAAGAATCAAACATATCCTGCCTTTCCTACCTGATCTGTTCCCCTGGGCAACCAAATATTTATGAGGGGGATTGCCCCTACCTAGAGTACTCCGTGTAATATGAGTAGAATTACAATATCACCATTTGGTAACTCTCAGTGAGTTAAGAGAAGCATAAATTATTGACAGGTGCTAAAAACAACATAGACAGTATGACATCATGTGCCTCCTGGTGAAAGAATACACCACATGTAGTCTTGACAAAGAGATCAAGCCTGAGTCTGATCCAGTCATGGATCCAGCTGACAGTTTAGGAATTCAGAGGAACATGCTGAACTGAGTATGCAGCAGCAGAAACAGCCTGAGAAACTACTGGTCAGATGACACTGATTCTTCAACAGAAAAATTGTAAGGAAAAAAAGGATCAGAGGAGGAAGCTATTAATTAGGAGATGTAAAAAAATCCAAAACAATATTTAAACAGACTAAACTTTAGTGTCAGGATGCACATTTAAGTCACAAAAACTAAAACAAAAAGATTAATTACTATGTGTGGTTTTCTGAATCTGCCCTCCTTTCATATGTTTGAAAAATTGTTCTGTTTCTTAAATTCCTTAGAGTCCCTAATTCTTACTTTAAATGCATATTGCTGAAAAATACACACTGGTAGGAATCCTTGAAGGACAGTTATGAGTGGCCAGTCCTTAGTTCATCAAAACAGCTGCCCTACATAATCCAGTCCTGAGGATTAGAGAGGAAATGAGCAGCAGCCTTGGGTCTGCCAAAGCTGTGTTCTATCGCAAAGCAAAAGGGCAGTCACAAGTCCCCCTCCTTACAGATTGGCTGCAATGCTGTCAGCTGGGCCCCTGCTGTTGCACCTGGAAGCCTTATAGACCAGCCATCAGGGCAGAAGCCCAACTACATCAAGAAGTTTGCCTCAGGCGGCTGTGACAACCTCATCAAGCTATGGAAGTAAGTGGGGTTGGTGGACTTCTCAGGGGGACACTTCTTACCTTCTACCCTACCCACCATGACTCAGCCACAGTTCACAAAAAACAGGATCATCTTTCTTTTACCCTGTTGCCCATAGAATACTATTTTCAATGTCAGAGGACATCCTGAAAAAAACAAACCAAAAAAAAACTTGCTTTTTGCTCAAGTACTTTTACTCTTCACCTATCTAACTGCTAGACCTGACTTGGCTGTGGAAGAGCAGTGCATTATAGCTGGTGAACTGGGAAAATTCGACAGGCTTAACGGATGGAATCAGAAAAATGAAATCGCTTCTCAACCCCTGTGGAGCTTACGATGTGGAGAAGGAATAGAGCTGTAGGAAAGGCTCCTGGGCTGCTACCTGATTCTCTCTGATCTCCCCTATTAGGGAGGAGGAGGACGGCCAATGGAAGGAGGAACAGAAGCTGGAAGCACACAGTGACTGGGTTCGAGACGTGGCCTGGGCCCCTTCCATTGGTCTACCCACCAGCACCATCGCCAGCTGTTCCCAGGTCAGCTCAGACCCATGAGAACGTCCTATTATTTAATCTGAGTGAGTCCCATCAGCCCTTCCAGTCCCCTTAGGGGAAAGTCCTTGAAAGGTGAGGGCAAGGCAACGGGCACCTTGGGACCAGTGAAGATAGCAGAGCGTGTGAAGCCAGGTCATCACGCAGTGAACTCTTGATCAGAAGCCACAAGTGCCTCGCCTCCACTGGGCCAAAGCAGGACTAGTTTCCCCTCCTAACACTTGCGTGAGTAGGGAATGGAGGTGCTCGGGTGCAATTCGGACAGTATTCCCAAACAAGGACCATGGCAGTGGGAGAGTTAAGACCTTGGACTCACCTACTATCCATTCTTCCCAGGCAGATCACAAAAGTAAGACCAAGGACAAGCCTTTAATTATACGTTACCAATACCCTAGGCAAGAATTAAGCCAGGCAACCAGGCTTTTTATACCATTTGTGCCTATTTTGTTTGGTCCTAAACCTGAGTAGGTTTTTTTTCCCTTCTCATTTTCTAGGCTTGGTTTTTATTTATTTTAAATATGTTTTTATTGATTTCAGAGAGGGAGAGATAGAAACTCAATGATGAGAGAGAGTCATTGATCGGCTGCCTCCTGCACGGCCCCTACTGGGATCGGGCCCACAGCCCAGGCATGTGCCTTGACAGGGAATCAAACCGTGACCTGGTTCATAGGTAAATGCTCAACCACTGAGCCACTCCAGCCGGGCTGTGGTTTTTAGACAGCCACATCCATTTGGTTGAGAAAGTATAGACAGAGCCAGAGAGAACTGAAACTAGAAAGTGACTTTGCAGATATAAAACCCCAGAGAAAATTTGAGAGTTAGCAATGTAGACAAAGCATATACCTGAAACCAGTATGAGGAAAGGACCCCGGGAGACTTTTTACTTTTTAATATTATTTATTGCTTTGAGGGAGAAAGGAAAGGAGGGAAGCATCGATTTGTTGTTCCAGTTATTTACACATTCATTGGTTGATGATTCTCTGTGCCCTGACCGGATCAAACTGCAACCTTGGTGTATCGGGATGACACTACCCAGCCAGCGCCAAGATTTTTGGCCTATGTGAAATGTGTTCCTGGGGAAAAGAGATGAAAGCATGGGTACTGGGCTGGAAATTGGCCCTTAAATCTGTGGAAACCCAGGAAATCCTTGGGTATGCTTTGTACTGAATCCCCCACCCTATTCCTGCAGAAGTTCAATATGGCTCCAGATTGGAAAGATATCACCAGTGCAGGATCCCTACCCCCATCTCCTGACTCTCCTGTCTTCCCAGGATGGTCGTGTGTTCATTTGGACCTGTGATGATGCGTCAAGCAATACGTGGTCCCCCAAACTTCTGCACAAGTTCAATGATGTTGTGTGGCACGTGAGCTGGTCCATCACAGCCAACATCCTGGCCGTCTCGGGTGGAGATAATAAGGTACACACCACGTCCATGACCTGCTGGACAGTCTCTCATTTGTCTTTGCCCGTGGGAAAGTGCAGTTGTGAACATCCTATCTCATGGCAAGCTTGGGGAGAGCCTTAATGGGGATTGCATTTTGAGCATGTATCCTAATTACATCCTTAAATCTTACTGCCCCCTAGAGGTCATATGTCCCCCATTTACAGATAGGAAAGAAGCTGACAGGTGATTTGACTTGCAAAGGGATCACAAAGCTATTAGGTGGCAGGGCCAATACTCAAGCCCAGATTAAATCCATAGCCACTGCCCAGTTAGTCCATCACTCCCACCATTTGACTACTTCATCTTTGTGAATTTTCTAGTTTCATACCATCGCAGTCAGAGAAGATAGTTGATATGATTTTAACCTTCCTGAATTTGCTAAGACTTGATTTGTAGCCTAACATATCTATCCTAAAATGAATGTTCCATGTGAACATGGAATGTGTATTCTGCTGTTGTTGTCAGAATGTTTTGTATATGTCTTTTAGGTCCATTTGGTCTAGAGTGTTCAAATCTATAGTTTCCTTCTTGATTCTGTTTGGATGATCTATCCATTGTTAAGAGTATGGTATTAAAGCCCCCAACTATTACTGTATTGCTTTTTCTCCTTTTAGCTCTGCTAGTTTTTGCTTTACATACTTAGGTGCTCTAATGTTGGGTGATAAAACCTGTACAATTGTTACATCTTCTTGATCCCTTTATCATTATTACCTTGTCTCTTTTTAATCATTTTTAATTTAAAGTCTTTTATCTGATATAAGTATGGCTACCTTTTTTTTTCTTTTGGTTACCATTTGCTTGAAATATCTTTCTCCATCCCTTCACTCTCAGCCTCTGTGTCGCTTTCAGGCTAAAGTGAATCTCTTGTAGGCAGCATATCATTGGATCTTACTTTTTCTCCAGTCATTTTATGTCTTTCTGGAGATTTTTAAACCATTTGTTTTTATCATGATGCTTACATAAACATCTTAATAGTTTAAAATAGGGTGTTACAATTTTAACAGCTTCAATAGAATCCCTAAGCTTTAACACTTTTACTTCTACCCCTCACATTTTGGGTTATTGACATTACAGTTTACATATTTTTAGCATTGTGTAACTGCTAAGATTACTGTAATTATAGTTCTATTTTACTATTTTTTAACTTTTAAACTAATTACACACCATCATTACCATATTACATGTCCAACTTTGTCTATATACTTATTACCAATGAGTTTTGCACTGCCTTCCTGTTTTTATGATTGGTCTCCTTTTATTTCCACTCAGAGAACTCCCTTTAGCATTTCTTATAAGCCCATGTAGTGGTGATAAATTCCCTTAGGTTTTGGTTGTCAGAAAGTCTATCCCTACTTCATTTCTGAAGGACAGCTTCACTGGGTAAGTCATCCCATTCTCTTCTGCCCTAAAAAAATTTCTGTTGAGAAATCTGCCAATTTTTTTTTCCTTGCTGCTTTTGAAATTTTTTGTCTTTAACTTTTGGCAGTTTAATTATAATGTGTCTTGGTGTAACCCTATTTGGGTTCAACCTATTTGGAATCCTTTGGGCCTCTTTGATCTAAATGTCTATTTCTTCCCCAGGTTTGTAAAGTTTTCAGCAGTTGTTGCTTTAAATATACTTTCTGTCCCTTTCTCTTTCTGAAATTCCCATAACATAAATACAGTGGTTCCCCTTTACCCACTGTTTTTCTTTCCATGGTTTGTTACCTGCAGTCAACCACATTCCAAAAATATTAAATGGAGAATTCCAGAAGTAAACACTTCCTAAGTCTTAAATTGCACATTGTCCTGTGTAGGGTAACGAAATCTCACTCTGTCCTGCCTGGTACGTAAATTATCCCTTTGTCCATTGTATACATGCTGTATACACTACCCACCTTTTTGTCACTTGGTTGCTGTGTCATTTATCAGAGTGACTGTTGTAGAATCACAGTGCTTATGTTCAAGTAACCCTTATAGTACTTAATGGCCCCAAAGCCCAAGACTAGTGATGCCAGCAATTCGGGTATGCCAAAGAGAAGCTATAACGTGCTTCCTTTAAGTAAAGGGTGAATACGGTACAATAAGATAACTCTGAAAAAGGGACTATTACATAACTTATTACAGTATATTGTTACAATTGTTCTTACTGTCATTACTCTTACTGTGCCTCGTTTATGAATTAAACTTTATATGGGTATGTATATATAGGGTTCAGAATTACTGTCCACATTTCAGGCATCCACAGGGGGGTCATGGAACATACCCCTTGTGGATGGGGGCTACTGTAGTGGTTTTTTGTTTTTATTATGTCCCATAATTCCTGTAGGCTTTCGTTCTTCTGACTGGATAATTGCAAATGTCCTGTCTTCCAAATCATAGTTCTTTCTTGTACATTGTTGAGGCTGCTTTTGAAGTCTCAAGTTCAGTTTTTATATTTTTAAGCTCTAGGATTTTTTAGTTTTTGATCGTTTCTATTGCTTTGTCAAACTTCCTTTTATTCACGCGTTGTTTTACTAATCTTACTGAGTTGTGTATTCTTATAGTTTACTAAATTTCAAAAGGATTATTCTGAACTCTTTAGTATCAGTTAGTTTCCTTTGGTGGTATCATACTTACCTGGTTTTTCATGATCCTTGAACTCTTATGTTGATATCTGCTCACTGGAGTAAGTGGTCTCCTCTTCCAGACTTTACAGGTTCACTTTGGCAGAGAGAGCTCTTCACCAGCCAGCTCAGTTTGGATTTCTGGACATGTCTGCTGCTAACATCTTTAGATAGGTGGGGCTTGCTATTAGGTTCTGTCTTTGGTTGAGGCAGCTATTTGAGCTTTGAGGTGGGGTGGCCACAGGGTGTGCCACGGGCTGAGAACAGCTGTCTTGGTTCCCTGGATTCTCTGGTCAGACTTACTACATGGTCAGGACTGGGCACTCTACTCAGCAGTAGGTGGGGCTGGGAATTAGCTTCCCTGCCTGGTGGGACAATGCGATGGGACCCAAATCAGGCAAGAATGCACTTGTTTTGCTCTGCAAACAGGAAAAGCCATAGCCTGTGCTTTCTGTTCCAGTGCCACTATAAGCAGGGCTGTTTGATGGGATACACAGTTTCATGTGTGCTCTGGTAAGGTTCCCCGGTCTGAAGACTGTGATTCAGTATTAAGTGGGGCTACAAATTAGTTTTCCCTCTGAGCTCGGCAGGAAAAGCAGCTCTAAGGCCACTAATGTTCTGTGACCCAAGCTGGTCCGTGCCCCAAGTTTCCCAGCTGAGTGGAGCCATTGGCTTTGCTCTAGAAGTAATCAGCTCTGCCTGCCGCCCTTCCTGCAGGGGCCACACTCTGGAGCAGGCAGGGCTGTGACTCACCAAAGTGGGCAAAACTCCTTATTCAGGGACCTGAATTAGGCAATCTGCACTCACCAAGTTCCATGGTCAGACTGTACCCTTGACTTGGGATTTGTTGGACTCTGCAGGTGGGAAATAGGTCTGCCAAGATCTGAGTGCTGGTTGTTGGAAACCCCTTCTCTGTCACAATCAGATTCCCAGTAGTGTTGATCCCACAGGTTCACCTACAATCCCCTTGGGGCTCCCACAGCTCTTGGGTGCTGGATGTCATCCTTCTGCTCTTTTCCCTCTGGAAGAAGCGTGGTTTCAGTATGGCGCTGCACCTGCCGGGGGGAAGAGTGGTGCAGTTAGCATGTAGCCATTCCTCTTACCTTTGTAATGCAGTCTAGCCTGATCTCTGGTGTGTGTGTGGGGGGGGGGTCAGCCTCACTCCCTCCTGTGTTAATAGTGTGTCCATGAATAGTTGTTCTTTTTCAGGGGTGGGCAAAATCATTTGGAACTACTCACGCCACCATCTGGATGATGTCACTTCCTTACTTTATCTCTAGATTTTTATTCTTTCTCTTCTGTTTTGATGGGATTTCAGTGGGGAAATCAAGATAAATCAAGATAAGTCCTCTGTTTACCTACAAGGCTGTGAGCCATGGTTCTTTATAGGGATCTAGTGAGATGAGAGGGAAGGGGTGCTGACCTGTAATATGTTGTGTGTCCTGGCTTGCAGGTGACCCTGTGGAAGGAGTCAGTCGATGGGCAGTGGGTGTGCATCAGTGATGTCAACAAGGGCCAAGGTTCCGTGTCTGCATCAGTCACAGAGAGCCAGCAGAATGAGCAGTGACAAGACTGGCGGGGCCCAGCTCCCCACCTGCCAATTCCTGGACTGCCCCTTCCTGGACCAACTGACCAGACAGCTGAGAGGAAGAGCTCCAAACTCCAACAAGATTACTTTCCTAAGAATAGTTAAAACTGCAACGAGATTGATCATCTACCTTAACATGATTTGATGTGGTTTGTAATTTACTGTCTGGCTGAAAGCACTAATGTTATGAGGGGAAAACAAATGATTTTCAAATCTATTATTTAAAAAATATTTTTTTGGCCATTTTTTATGTACCTTTTGGGTTCAGGCATTATTTGGGAGGTTTTGTTTCCAAAGTAATTAAACAGGCATGTTTATAAATCTCCCTATAGTATCCTCCCTTAAAAAGTTCATTTTGACTCCTGTTAGTCAACATTAACCAAGACCAGGTCCCTGTTGGCCAAACCCCACCCACAAAGCTGGTCTGTCACTGTGTAAGCATCCTTGTGACTCAACTTATATGGAAGGTACCATACAAAGCACTGTAAAAGGAGTGCTAGCCCTGGCCAGTTTGGCTCAGTGGATAGAGCTTCAGCCCGCGGACTGAAGGGTCCCGGGTTCAGTTCCAGTCAGGCACATACCATGGCTGCGGGCCCCGCGCCTACAGGAGGCAGCCAATCAGTGGTTCTCTCTCTCCCTTCCACTCTTTGAAGAGCAGTGGAAAAAATATCCTCCAGTGAGGACTAAAAAGGAGCACTAGACTTGTCTTCAATTACAGGGACTGTAACCTGGCTCTGCTCCTTACCCTCTTCTGCAGAATGAGACTAAGAAAGTCTGCCCTACAGAATGGTTGCAAGACTCGGGCTCATACATGTGGGTGACCCACAAAATGCCATGCAAATGCAGGATAATACTAACCAAATACCAGTAGTTAAGACACTGCCACAGTTCATCAGTTTGTTAACCCTGTCGGTGGTAGGAGGGACCTGTGGTGGAGACCATGGTTCTGATCTGAATCGACCCTGAACCAACTCACCTCTCAGCAGAGGCCCTGGGACCCTCACCTGAATGAGCAGTCATAACAATAGCTACCATGTGCTGAGAGAGCTGCGAGCTGGCAGTGCGTTTGGCTCTTTCACACATTAAGCAGCACAACAGAGCTGTAGGTACAAATCCTCAGGTTACTGAGGAACTGGCACAGAGGATTGACCACTGCCAAGTTGGTGAGGCCAGTGTTTGAGTCCTGATCCATCTTAACTCTGGAGTTAGCACTATGAATGCAGCATGCGGGGGCTCCCCAGCTGTTACGTAGAGGTACTGATCACAGCGGTTTGATATGTGCACGCTTAGACAAAGGTCAAGCCACTCACCTCAGGAGGCTGTGTGCACAGGTAAGTGTGGATCCCCATTCTACCTGCTTCTCATCATTCCTGTTTTTCTTCAGCAAAACCCGTTTTGAAATAAATGTTAGATCGTAATATATAAAATGGGAAACAGTGAAACTTTTTGGTGGAAGTGAGAATAGAGAAGCCATGGCCCAGCCCACTCAGCCTCCCAGGTCATTCTGCAAAATCCAAGCCTTTGGAGAACAGCATGGAAACTGCTGGTGGTTGGTTGGTTTTTTCTGCTATTCACATGAGAAAAAGGCCCAAGAAGGCACCTTCGCATACATTTCTCAGTGGACACAGACGACACTGAATTCTAGTTAGCTCTACATACATGTCTGCTCCCCAAGGACAGGCCTCGTCTTCCTGATGGTGCCAGGTATCATCAACAAATGATGAGAAGAGACTGGTTCCATGTCACACACTGGGTTGGTGGTAGGTCAGTGGGCTCCTGGCCATATGTTCTATGTGTACTTTATACCACCAAGGATCAGTTAAGATAATCTGGTGGTACATAAAATTATCACCAACAGTTTATGCTTAGAGTAGTGACACATTGGCCATTTGGGGGTAAGAAAAATCCCCCAGATTTGTTACCACAAACTAGGTTAAGTGGAAATACTATGTTAATCTTCCAGGACAGTTGCCACCCTAATGAGATGAATAAGAGGGTATTTTATAAGGTATAGAGAGTGCTTGATAGGGCAAAAGGGCAGTAGCAGCCACATATTTTAATCCTGCCACAAAAACAAAGCAACTAGCACAGCAAAAGAAACTCCCAGACGAGAAGATTGTCCCTCAAACTACTGAACCTGAAGGAGTAGGGCCACACCATTCATAGCCCTGTACTTGTGTGGGATCTACATAGGGGAAAAAGGCAGAGGAGTTCTTATGATCCTTGGAGCCAGGTAACCCAAGAATTACCATCAAGTGAATTATCCATTCTGAATAGAAAACTTAGCAAGCCAATGAGAGAAAAACTGTCAAAACTAGAAGTTTCACAGGCTTTTGTTTGCACATGAATTCTACAGAAGAGGTTTCCACTTCTGCACATGAAGGATTAACAGCGATGATCTTCCTCACACTGTAAACTAGGAAAGCACACAAAGTCCATGAAACAAGGACTTTCAGATATACAACAACAGGCAGTATTTGTGAGAACAAAAGTGGGGAGCACAACTGCCCAGCTTACTGCCTAGAGAGAGTTTCCAGGCTAAAGGATGGAGACCAAATCTAGAATCTCATGGTCTCACTGAGTTGAAAAGACAGATCCAAGTTCAGGAAAGCTAAGCTACAACTTATGGGGCAGAGTACTAGAGGAGAGGGAGCAAGCTCCTGAGGTCTGCAAAAGGGTCTCTCAGACTTTGACCAAGTACTAACCTGCATATATGAAGGGTGAAACTCTTGATGATTGGAAAGCAACAGGCCAAACAATTCCTGGAAACTCACAGAAGTTCATTTTCCCAAGAACTAGAGTGCAACAAATTTACAAACGGCATTGGGTAGAGTCCCAAGAAAGAGATACACCTTAATAGTAGATCTTAAATTAGGTCTGGACGAAAAGCTACTCTGGATCTTAAGCCTTGAAAGGATCGAACTGATCCACAAATAATTTCACTTTGCGCCAGATCAAAGCCCAACACTCTTTAAAAGAAAAAATTCATCACTTGATAAAATTCACAATGTCCAGTGGCCAATCCAAAGTTAACCAGCATGCAAGGAAGCAGGAAAACACTACCCATAACTAGGCGAGAAAAAATAGTCACAGAAATGAGACCATGGAATTAACAGAGTAGGACTTTAAACATTATAAATATGTTCAAGAAGGTAAAGGAAAAGGAACATAAGAGAGAGAAAAAACTGTTGCAAACAATTTCTAGAAATGAAAAATTAAGTAAAGTGGAAGTAGAGTGTATGGGAATAAGGGCAGGTTAGACAGTGGGAGATACACTAAATGTGAAGACACCAATAGAAACTACAAACCGGAGCACGGAGAAAAAGGGACTGAAAAGATGAACCAAGCAATTGTGGCCTGTGGGACAATATTAAGTAGCCTGAAATGTGTCAACTGGAGTCCCAAGGGGAAAAAAAATTTAGGGGAGTAGGGGAACAATAAATATTTGAAGAAACAGCCATAATTTTTCAATCTGTATTAAAACTATAACTACAGATCCAAGAAAATGGGAGGCACCCAAGTAGAAGAAACACTAAACAACATACCCCATAAAAAAATTGCTGAAATTTTTATTTTTTTGTTAATCCTCACCTGAGGATATTTTTTCCATTGATTTTTGGATAGAGTGGAAGGGAGGGAGGGGCAGGAAGAGAAACATCTTTTGGTTGCCTCCCACACACCCCCTGACCAAGGCAGCATATTGAACCTGCAATCCTTCGGGCAGGGGCCAACACTCTAACCACTGAACCACACCGGCCAGGGCTGAAATTTTAAATTATACAAGCAGCCAGAGAAAAAGACATTACATACAAAGGAACAAAATGGTTGGCCCTCTACACCCATGGGTTTTGTATCTGGGGATTTAACCAACTACAGATCGAAAATATTCAGGAGAAAAAACTTCAGAAAGTTCCAAAAAACGAAACTTGAATTTGCCACACACCAAACACTATGCTGAATCCACACAAACAAAGAGGTGTGTGGGCATACCCTGCTGTAGCCTGTACACAAATATAGGTTTATACATAAGTACTACACAGTGTTATATAAGGGACTTGAGCATCTGCAGATTTTGGTTAAACAGGTTCCCAGGACCAATCCCCCATGGATACAGAGAACTGTATAAAATGTCTGTCAACTTATCAGAACTTATGCAAACCATAAGAAAACCTCTTTGAAATGCTAAAAAGAAAAATCAGCCTAGAATTTATACCAAGTAAAAATATTTAAAATAAAGGTGAGTTACATCAGCATCACGGCAGAGTAAGACAACCCCTTATATCTCCCTGTAAATTTACAACTAGTCAGACTTCTGTAACCCAACACAGTTTCCACTGCTCAACACACTAGGAGGCCAGAGAGATCCACACATCAGTACATCTGAAGGTGGGCATATTGGAACACCAAGGGGAAGCGGGGTGGGGGAAGGACAGGGAGTCCCGCAGACACAGTTCCGGGGCCACCACAGCTGAATTACTGGCCTCAGTGAATGAGGTAATGATGAAGGAGCTGGGATGTGGCCTCCACACCACAGCCGGCAGAGGGTAGAGGGACAGCAGTAGTGCCAGCACCCCAGAATCTGGCTCCCTCCCCTGATGGCATCCACACCTGATAGCAACAGAAAAGCGTCTACAACCTCTCGTAGCACCAGCACCCATAGGAAGCCAGAAAGCAACACAACACATTCCTCCCACCCCCATGGTGGTGGAGCCCCAAGACCCAGGCAACCTGCACACACTGAGGGAACCCATCACTCTGGATGGTGACTCTCATGACTACAGTGATGCCACCCCAACCACAACCCTAGAGGTGCAAGTAGTGCAGGTTAAGACAAAACAAAAACTTGCACTATAGCACCATTGACTAGAAAGCAAAACAAAGACCTCTAAATATCAATCTGCTGAATTGTTAAAACCAAATGGTACCTAAATAAGAAAGGTTTTTATTTCAAATGTGCCAGGAAAATAATCCATTAAACACCATGAACAACTGAGGTATTATGGTAACATAGAAAGAAAATTACAATTCTCCAGAAACCAAATTCCAAGTCATGGAAGATTGTTGTCTCAATAAAGAAATCCAAATAGAAGTCATGAAGAAACTCAACAAGATACAAGAAAACTCAGAGAGGCAGTTTAATGAGCTCAGAAATAGAATTAATGAATAAAAAGAGTACTTTACCAAAGAGATAAAACTATAAGAAACAACCAAACAAATTCTAGAGCTAAAGA